GGTTCATCATCAGTAGTTTTGATGACATGTGTTGTTTGTGTAGTAGCTGATAGAGGTTGATCAGGATATTGGAATATTTTGAAATGTTTCTTGCATAATTTATTCAATTTGAATTTTTCCTCTTCATTGAGATGATCTGATCTCAATGAATTTTCGATGTGTTGTTGGTCTGAATGAGGTTCTAAATTATTTAATTTGGCCTCAAAAATATCGTATTCAATAATAGGAATAACTTCTAATGGATATTGGAGATCAACATTTGTATCCTCTATGTTTACATTATGAATTTCGACAATAGCTTTTCCGTTTTCAACATTGGTTATGCATTCAGGTATGAAACAGTGAGAGTTAACTATTGTATTAGGAAGATAGTATGTTCCGTCAAATTGAGCATTTGTAGGAAGTGTCGTCCTGAGAATTTCCAGCGTACCAATTTTAAGTTAGGTTCCTTCAAATTTTCTAACCATTTTAACGGCTTATGATCTGTTCTAATTTTGAAATGTCTTCCAAAAAGATGAGGCCTAAAATATTCAATTGACCAAACAATTGCTAATAATTCTTTTTTGGTAACTGAATAATTTACTTCATTTGGATTGAGAGTACGACTAGCAAAACATATTGGTTTTCCTTCTTGACTCAATACTGCTCCAATAGCAAAGTTGCTTGCATCTGTTGTCAAGGTGAATATTTTTGAGTAATCAGGTCGTTTCAATATTGGTTCATTACATAAAATTGTTTTACAGGTGTCGAATGCTTGAATGAATTGTTCTGTATGTTCAACTTCCTTCCTTTTCTGAGACAAATTGTTAAGGGTTTTGTAATTTTTGCTAAATTATTCATGAATTTTCGATAAAAACCTATCATTCCTAAGAAACTTTTTATATCCTTGTGATTAGGAAGATAGTATGTTCCGTCAAATCGAGCATTTGTAGGAAGTGTCGTCCTGAGAATTTCATTTTCGTTTATAGTTATATTATAACAGCTGTACTCTGAAGGAGAACATTGATGAACTGGTATAATCACATCATCTTTACTTAGGTAACTTACTTGTAAATTCCAGTTGAATCCCATATTTTTCAAACCTCTAAAGCTAATCAAACCGTCAAATGAGGGATGGAAATCGAATAAAGTGAAAATTATCTTTCCTTTCTTTTGAAATTCATTGAAAGCAGGAATATGCGCTTCGTATTTAGCTTCTTGTTGACCGCAGGATGTTTTAATGACAGTTGGTTTTGTTATTATACATTCAGGATAATTAAATTTGGCGAAACATGGATTTATTAGAGACATGTGACTACCGGAATCAATTAGAAGACGTAGTGGTTCATGGAATCCTGTTATTTGGATAAATAGCAACTTACGTTGGTCCATTGCATTAAGTTCTAAGTGGTTTCCGTTCCAGAGGCTGATAAAGGAAAATTTTCTTGTGTAGAGTCATCAAAATAAATATACGTGAGTACATGGTGCAAATCGGCTCCTCAGTTTGAGTGTTTTGAGAGGGCAAATTTACAAAATCTTGCCTTCAAACTTAGTTGTTGTTTGTATATATAGGTTTTCTAACGTTATGACCAGGTTATTTTTGGCAATTTTCCTACCGTATATTGTGAAAGTGTCGTTTAATTGAGATGAAATGACGTGTCGTTTATAGAAAGTATCAACGTTTCATTTCAACATTTGATAGTGGTTGTAGATGAACAGGAAGTAATGGATTGTTGGGAATGATACATCTAAATAACGTGTTCATTTCCAGGTCATCTTCAACCAAATTTCAACGTACAAGTCTTCAACCACTTACCTAATCTCGACGATTCCAACCGTAATTCAACGTTTCATCAAGGAGTTTGTGTTCAGTGGGCTGTTGATATTGAAGAATTCTGAGTAAAATTTCATGACATATGTTCTCCTACCTGAATCTGTGACACATATGGTATATACATTTTGCTCTCATCATCACTTCCAACAATATATTTTTCATGTCTTCTGAAGCTAGTTGACATGCTGTAGAGTATTTTTTGGTTGCACAATCACACAAGTGAAAATTAAGCATTATTTCTTCGATTGAATGTTGCTGTGGAGCTGTGTGTAGCCCCTTTCCAATTTTTATTAAGAAAATTTGAATTTTATGTGAGATTGTTTGCGCTAAAAAATCTGATTATTCTTAGAAGTGGAATTATAGCATTGATTCCAGAAGAACATTTCTGTGCAAGTATCTAGAAAGGAGTGAAAGTTCGTTGAATTTTGGATGATGTTAAAATAATGTCAAATAATTAGTGAGTGCGGTTTTATCCAAAAGGCGAATTGAATGAAATCTGAAAGCATCAGCATGTTCTTAGGTGTCGAACCCCATATGTAGAAACATCATTCTAGAATCGACCGTATCTGTGATTCGTAGATCATGGAAATATGTTGAGGCATGGAACAGAATCTTGCACGGAATGAGAATCAGTATTTGTGTGAAGCAGCAGTCGCGATTGATCTGACATAATTATCCTATTGAAGAGTATTTTGAGTTCCGCATTTCCAGAAAGAAAGAGGAGCTAGAGTACTGGTGGCGTTTAATTCGACTAGTTGTATGCGTCGTGAGTTCTCGTTGATCGATCTTTCATTAACAAAAGTTAATGCATCTAAATGAAATGTCGATAGCATATAATCTCCTGTTCTAACTCAATGAATACATCTGATTCGATAATTTGTGACGAAATCGAGGTCAATTCACGAATATGGCCATCAACATTGAGCGTATCAGATACCTGGGAAGCTCAGGAATCAATAATTGCTCGAATTACAGCCTGAGGAACCAACAACCTAGTCGAATTTAACGCAACTGAAACTCAAGCCCCTCTTTTTTTCTCGAAATTCGAAACTCCAAATACTCTTTTATGGGGAAATTATGTCAGATCAATCGCAACAGTTGCTTCACACAACCTCTAATTCCCATTCCGTGTTAGATTCTCCTCCACACCTCAACATCTTCTCATGATCTACGAATCACAAATACGGCTGATTCCAAAGTTCTGTATTCACATATGGGGTTCAGCACCCATGAACATGCTGATGCTTTCGGATTTCATTCAATTCTCCTGTTGGGTGAAACCGCACTCACTAATTATTTGAATTCATCGGAACACCATCCATAATTTAACGACCACCACTAACAATACCAGTCAGACGAACTCGACAAGCCCTGTGAGCACATCCTTCCTCCGCAAACTTTGAGGTATGACGAACAACTTCTTACCAAAACTCGTTCGTCAAAAAAACGTCGCAGCTTTCAATTTCTTAGTCAGATAAAAAAGTCTCAGAAAACTAATAGATTTCAAAATGAAAGGAAAACGATACCTACCTCATTTCCCTATCCTTCTAGGTACGCACGATGTTCTTTTTAACATTTCAGGGATTTCAATTCGTGCGTCTTGAGCAATCAAGGAACAAAAATGAGCCTAACCCTTTCATCATCATATGGCGATAGTCTACAGTGAATTCAGAGCTTGATACTGAATTATCACGGGCACATATGTTATGTTGATCTTATAACACCAAACCATCGACATAGACTTCCAGAATCGTTCATCATCTGCCTGAATATCAATAAACTATAAAATGAATGAATTCGATCATATCGAATGGAGAATTCTGATATAGTGTTCTTATCATCCCACTGTGCCAATGTGCAGTGATGTTCGAGAGATCAATTATTCTTGATTGATAGTTTTTTCATAGAACGACACGGTGACGTGAGAAGAATATATTTTTCCACGAGCGTGCGGATGAGTAACTCCTCCGCGAGATTTTTCGTTTTGAAAGATGTACTCTTCCGTACGATTTCACTTTTCCGTTTTATTTTTGGTTTCCCGTACGACTTCAAAGAAATTACCAGGACATGTGATGATAACTGTTGGCACCAGAACGTACCAATAGCAACAGTCGCTATAAACTGACAGTAGTGGCAGTCAACAAATAAGCATTTCAAACGTCATTGTTTCGTGAACGTAATTCCAGGTAGAAATGGACAACTCAGGAAACTTTCAAGATCTCTCCCTGAGAATAATTGATGCAAATACTAACCAATCGAATTCAAATTAGAAACGACGTTCACCAAGATGTTACGGCATCTGCTATATTACAGCATACATGAAACACAAATTGCACTATCAATTTCAATATTCACCATCATTGATGTTTAAGTGATTGTTATTCAAATGTTATCGAAATGAGTTTCCTATTATATCGATAAGGAAATCTATTTCATCATTTTTCAGTGCATGGAAATATCGTGCAAAGTTACCTCACCGCTATAATGCTGAAAATTCAATTCTTCGCACGATTTTTGTATTGTTGAAAATAAGGATATCCAGGATTAACTGAATGATCGTTGCAACTATTTCGTCTTATGTGACATTTTTTAGCATTATCATGAGATATTGTTCAATGAAAACCTAATTTTTTCTCATGAATAATATGGACAAAAACACTCGTAGGAAAAACTTCGTACCTAACTCTTGCGAAAAATGTCTTTTTCGCCCTTGGCGACTTGCCCGAACTTTGTGCAGCTGCCGTCGCGTGTGAAAAGTACTTCTTTCTGCACTTGTTAGGTGAATAAGTAATCAATCAAGGTCGACAGTAGGATTTTTAAACATGACACATACTGAGACATCTTCGCGAGTTGACTCTAGTGTTGACCCACTTACTCTCAAGGTACCTGTTTCACGTCTCTAGACATGAACAAAATTCCTGAACTGGTACTAATAAAGGTAGATGAGTGAATAAGTATTTGAAAAAAAAAACAGTGGAATTGGGATGTTACATTGGGGTTCATTGTATAAATCTATTGTTTTATTCAACGGCAATAACATTATGTGAAAATACAAAATATCTCTCCAACTGTTTATAGGGCAAATACAGTTCTTGCACATACCTTCACTTTCAATCGAAACGAGTATAACGATGTGTTCTCTCGACAATTTCTAGTTGGCGAATCAAGTGGACTGCGGCTGACAAGTATGAACGCCCCTATTGTCGCCGACCCTCGTGACCTCATGGATTTGGACTGCAACTTCGACATGGGCACCGAGGACCTATATGCTGTTAAGTGGTACAAGGATGATCAGGAGTTCTTCAGGTGAGTTGAATCTCAATCATTTCTTGAGAGTATGGTATGAAATTGAAGTCATCTGAATGGAATCCCAATCAAAAGCAGAAAACATGTCATCGAAATATAATGCTCATGATTCTTTCAATGAATGAGATGAAATGAATCATAGAGGAATCATCATCTCCTGTGAATTGTGTTAGAATTTGTTTGGAGAGTGATATACTATTGGTAACAAAGTTTGTATTCAGGCATAGGTACAACAGCGATACAATCGAAGAGCATGTCATTGTTGTAAAGTACATTTATAACATATACCTTTTTCTTTGTAATTGCTATGATGTTTTTGAATATAATAATTGTATAGGTTGATACCCTGTGTGTTTCGCAATAATGATCAGCTGTCAGGTATTGCCTGAACATTTTTTGTTAATATTTTGAATAATATATTATGCTGATGGTCATTTCATGAAGTTCGTTGCCTTGTTCCAATTTATTGAGTTCAAATAGATACATGATTTTGGTAACGTTGGCATGTCAACGAACTTCGGGAAAAAACGATGGATTAAGGTTTTTGAATGAAAACCGGGATTTGATCGGGAATTACAATTCCAACCACGAATCCGAACGGTTGTCTGATATACGGTCATCTTGAATAAACGACTCTGAGCAATTCGTTGTTTTTATCCAAACATCCCAACAAATTCTGGTGGCAGCGGTGGGATGCTGGATTAAGATACTGAATACTGAAGTGAATTTGCAAGGATACCGAGAACACATTCGGAGCTGTCGGTGGTTTGACGGAAAAACCAAACCCCGATTATAGTGCAACAGAAGTGCTCCACCTCGACAACCTGGTTAAGAGGTAACGGATCCAACGTTCAACCAGTCATCAGTCATCTCAGACGAACAGGAAACTTTGGAAGAAGAGTATATATTCGGGAGGCCAGTCAGGATCAGATAGCCACTTTCAAGTCCCTAAGCAGTGCTAGAGGACAACTGCAAGCGACATCAATCACAGAAGACATCAGGCTGGAAAACAGGAGACCAGATAAGACATCAAGTTAGAAGACATCAGGCCGAAAAACAGGACCAGACGACATCAGGTTAGAGGACATCTCGGAAGATCATCTTCTTTGTAGAAAATAGTATAAAGTAAGCGATTTTTTTACTCAAAAGTGTACGAATTTTGATATTGACTATATTCATGATCATAACATCGGTATGGTTTTCCAAGTTGATTTGGCTCTCAAAATGATTCCCGAATTTCGAGGGAATAGGGATGATTTACACAAATTTGTCTCTTGTTGTGATGTCATGTCCGAAACGGCAAGAACTAGGGAGGAAATAATTCAATTGTTAAACGTCATCAAGTGTAAACTCTCTGGGCAGGCATACAATTTCATTAAGTACAAAACGATAAATGCATAGGCCGATTTGAGAATTATCTTGGAAGACCAGTATTTAGAAAAACGCACTATAAGTCAACTTCAAATAGAACTACTCAATGCTAGGCAAAATTCTTCTGAGAGTGTGAGAGATTTTGCAAATAAAATAGAGAGACTTTCATTGGACCTAACGAACGCATGCATAGCCAGCGAAGGCGATGCAGCTGCTTCAGCAATTCGAAATTTAAATGCTAAATCAGCTCTTAAAGCCTTTGTCGAGGGACCAAGAGACCCAATAAAGTTGATCATTAAAGCATCTCGATTCGAGGAGCTCAATGTTGCTATCGAAGCGGCATGCGAAGAGGAGAGGAATTTAACAACTCGAATGGCCAACCAAAAAAATTAAAGTCATCCTCCTAGAAAATGTTTCAAATGTGGAAAAGTGAATCACACATCTGCGAATTGCTTTTCAAACAATATTCCGTTCTCTTCACATCAACCTTCGAATTAAAGGCATAAAAATAACTCTCCAAACAATTCTTACATCAGGACAGAAAATATCCATCAGGTGTCAAATGGATGTCGTTATTGCCACAATATAGGGCATATAATTGAACAATGTCGGAAACGTCAATATAATAATTCCAGATTCAAATCCAATAATAATCAACCTGCAAGAAATTTCTCAACAAATTCTCATAATAGGTATTCACCTGCACGAAGCCAGCCATTTTCCAATCGATATGATTATACAAATTCACGATCAAATTCCGGAAATACAACTATGACTAGATCTGCGCAAAATTCGGGAAACTTCCAGGGCCCAACGGCGAGCGGCAGCACTGTCAGGGTCCGCGAAATGCAATCTGCCGACAACTAGAGGAAACTCGAATTCATAACGTTTCACATGATGCCGAAATGAATCGTCATCATTTTTCAAACAAAGATAATAATATATCTTCCAGTTTCCAAGATTCTCCTTCTATTTCCAGTAGCTCAAATACCACATCAACACTTACTATCTACCATGATTCGATACAAAATAATCACGATTCTATGCTAGTAACTAATTCAGATCAAGAAAAAAGCATAGAATATTCAGATTCTATATCCCGTCAGTCAAACAAATCCTGTTTCAATATCCCAAATCACGAATATCCTATTTCTTCCTTATCCAATAATGTCAGCAAATCCAAAGATTCAAAATCACGTCCTCCTGACCTATATCATAATTTCGCTGATTCGAATGATTGCAATAGAGAAATAAGTATCTATACAGTAAATATGAACTTGAATTCTTCATGTGTCAAATTACCACTGAATCTGTCAATAACTGGTTACGCACTGGTCATAGTACAGAGTTCGTTGTATCGCTCGTGTATCGCTCGTAAATAAAGTGAGATCTATAGGTGATATAGGTGCAATAAAATAAAACAGGCTGACTCTGGACGTCAAACATATGATCATCTAAACAACAGTGCACTCAATATACACAAAAACACAAACCATATGTAGAATACTTGAAAATTTAGAAAACTCCGTTCTGGAAATTGTATATAACCTAATTCAAAACCCAGGGTAAGCTGATATTATCAGAAATAGTAAGTGAGCCGACCTACTAAAAAAGCTCAAAGCAAATGTGAATACTATAAGATGGAAGCTCTGGCCGACTTGAAGAAGTATATTGCAGAACAAAATCAAATTGTAGTATCGAAATTCACCGCACAAATAAATGACTTGAAGGATATAGTTCTGAGTAGTTCAGAGAAAGTAGAAAAGCTGGAGAATGAAATAAAAATACTGAAGAGTCGAAATACGCAGTTGGAAAAAGCCGTGAGAGAGAATAACATCTTAATCTTCAATTCTGATTATGTTGAAGGAAATCTATTAGAATTCACACTAAATTTACTAAATAGCAACCTGGAACTGAATATTAGTAAAGAAGAAATAAACAGAGTATACATAATCGGAAACAACGAGAAGGAAAAAATAATATTGATAAAGTTTCTGAGATTCATCACCAAGCAAGAAATACTGAAAAGTTGCAAGAAACTCAAGGGAAAGAGATTATCGATAGTAGAGGATTTATCGCAAGAAGAAAGATCTGAAAGAAGAGTTCTGGTTGAGAAATCAAAGGAAGCAAGGAAAAATAACAAAAAAGCTCATGTTTTTCGCAACAAATTATTCATTGATAGTATAGGATACACCTACAAAGACTTGATAACAAATGCCCAAAGAGGGGTGAACGAAGTCAATCACACCCAAAGCCAAAAGAGACCGACAACTTCACCTGCTGATCGACAGAGAGAAGAAAACACCAAAAGAACAAATTCAGAGTCTGGTCCCAGTACTATCGACACTGTGAGGAGATTGACTAGAGCCAACAAAAACGTTTGATAAAAAGGTCCTAATTAACATACCCAGCTGTAAAAAAGAACTGGTGAAAGAATTGTTACTATATAGAGGTAGATATTTATTTTATTTAATTTTCGAACCATAAACCTAAAAAATGGATCCATATATACGCAATATCAATTATACTCCATTCGAAACACTGAAATTTCCTGATGTAACAGCATTAAATAACAATATAGATATGAAAAGTGAAAATAATTTCAAAATTTATCATCAGAATATCAGAAGCGTTTGGAAAAATTTTGATGAGTTTAAAATATATCTCAATGAAGTTGAATCAAATTTCGATTATATCGCCCTAACTGAAACGTTTAAAGTTGATGATATAAATCTATTCAGATTAACTGGTTACAATGTTATATACAATGAAGGTGACATCAACAAGAACGATGGAGTGATAATATACATAAAAAACCACTACAAATGTACGTCACAAATAGTATCCATTGATCAATGTAGAGCTATACAAACAATCATTCGCTTAGACCTCGGCAAAACTATTACAATAACCGCCATATACAGGCCTCCTTCAACAGATCCAGAATGCTTCACAACTAGTTTGAGACAATACATACACCAAACAAAAAACATTACATGTGAATATCATATTATAGTAGGTGACATAAATATTAATTTACATGATGATAATGACGTGACCAATGAATATTTGGATAATTTCAGTGAATATAATTTCATATCAATGATAAATGCTTCTACTCGAGAACAAGGTAATTCAAAAAGCTGTATTGACCATATTTTCATTAAACATAAAAATACTAAAAACATCGATGAAAACTGTAAATCCGGCGTAATTGATACAGATATAACTGATCACAAGGGCACTATTCTATCCTTGTCAGTACTGATGAATGATATATCCTCAGTTCCAGAAAATCGTGTTAAAAAGTATATAAATTATGACAAAATGAAGCAAGAACTACAAAATTACGACTGGAGTAACTACTATCAGCTAAGAAATGTAAAACTGATGCTTTAGTTAAATCAATAAATAAAAAAAATCAATTATACCGGAACTATAAAAAGAACCCTGAAAATACTGCTATTAGAGATACGTACATAGAATACCGCGAACTAACTGACAAGTTGATAAAAAAGGCTAAATATCTTTTTTATAAAAATCAAATTAATAAAAACAAAAACAGCTCCAAAAATCTATGGAAAGTTGTTTCAGACCTAACTGGGTCGAATCAAACGCATGATGATATAACAGAAATTGTCACTGAAGACGGGGAGATAATAAAAAATAAAAAAGATATTGCCGAAATCTTCAATGATTATTTTGTCAGAGTAGGCGAGAGTCTTGCGGAAAAAATTAAAAAACCCAAGTCGGAAGAACCGATAAGATATTCACTGCCAAACTCGTTCTATCTTGCACCCACAGACAAGCAAGAAATAATAAGTATTATAGATACCCTAAAATTGAAAAAATCACCTGGCATGGACCAAATCAAAACAGAAACTTTAAAGTTAATTTCTAATTTCATTGCGGAACCTTTAGCATTCCTAATCAATAATATATTCAAGTCTGGTGATTGCCCAGATGAGTTCAAAATGGCAGTTGTCACACCAATTTTTAAAAAAGGAGACAAAAAAATAATGTCAAATTACAGACCAATATCTGTAATATCTGGAATTACGAAAGTTTTCGAAAAATGTCTGAAAAATAGATTATCAAAATTTATTGATAAATATAACATTATATCTAACAACCAATTTGGATTTCGAGAATCAATGTCCACAAGTGACGCAACGGCTACACTCCTAGGTAATATTTACAAAAATGTAGATGATGGCAATCCCACCCTTTGCGTATTCCTGGATCTGGCTAAGGCTTTCGATACCGTCAATCACGAGCAGCTATTGGGGGCCTTGGATGATGTAGGAATAAGAGGTGCAACTCTGGAACTAATCAGGAATTACTTAAAAAATAGAATACAGGTAGTTAAGATTGAAGGGAAGTTCAGCAGAGAGAGACTTCTGAATTGTGGCGTGCCTCAGGGTACTGTACTAGGTCCCTTACTATTCTCTATTTATATAAATAGCCTACTCACTATGAATACAACGGGAAAAGTAATAAGTCTTGCCGATGATACTGCGATTTTGTATACAAGTGATACATGGGTCAATCTGAAAGAGATAGCAGAGAATGATTTAAAAAACATTATAAATTGGTTCAATCACAAAATTTTGACCATCAACTTTGATAAAACTTTTTTCATGCCGTTCTGCAGTTATAGAAATGGTCTACCCAACTTCAATACTCTCCAGATTCAAAATGATGAAGAAACGTTTGAGATAAAATCAACAACTAACATAAAATATCTAGGAATCACGATCGATCCCCATCTGAGATGGGACAGTCATATTTCAAATGTGGCAAATACGCTGAGAAGTCTTTTACCGAAATTCAAATACCTCAGATCAATACTAGATATCACTGACCTCAAAACTATTTATTTTTCACTAGTCGAGTCACGCCTGCAGTATGCAATATTGAGCTGGGGAGGAGCTCTATGCACACATCTGAGAAAGCTAGACATTACACAAAAAAAAATTCTGAAGATGATGTACAAGAAAAAGTATACTTACTCATCCGATCAGCTATTTTCTGAACTCAGGATCCTAGATATTAGGCAGCTATACTTCTATCACAGTTTAATATTCCTATATAAAAACAGAATTGACCTTAAAAAAATTGACCACACTTACACTACACGTAATAAAATAAAAAATCAGATACAAATTACCTTTTTCAAAAAATCTATAGGCCACAGATGTCACCTTCATCTGTCCCAAAAAATTTACAATACTTTGCCTGGCATATATAAAACATATTTAGCAAAAATCAATTCAACCCAACTCATCAAAAAACTTTCTAAAAACTACTTATTTTCTATTGATAGAAATCAAATCCACAGTATATTCGACAATACATAGGTCATATAATATGAATATTTGATGTCTTTCCTTAATTTTCTCAATCGGAAATATTATTTAATACATTTGTTAGTTATTATTTGTTATTATTATCATTACTGTTATTTCATATAATTCATTCCTATTACTATTATATATAATCGTAATTACTATTCACCTATTTTTGATTTTTGATATACAGATACATAAAAAAAAAACAACCAAACGATTGAATATAAATTTAAACATGCCTCGTTTATACTCATTGGTAAATTGAAAGATTGACCCATGCTCGACCTGATCAGGTTCTAATGGGATTTTCAAGTTTATTCAAATTTGTTCAATTGTTTAATTATTGTGATTGTATATTATTAATTATTGAGATTGTATATTATATTAATTATTGTGATTGTATATTATGCTTATCACTATTATTATTATTACAATTTATTATTGTTATTATTGCCTACAACTATATAACTTAACATTGAATAAACTTATTATTATTATTATTATTATTATTATTATAAATATGTTAGTCGATACGGGGAGCGACGTCACTAGTCTCAAACTACGACAGACAGACGGAGATGCGTTAATATATCCAGATAAAAAGGCGCGTTTGAAAGGTATTACCGAACAATGTGTTCTATCTTATGGTGTTTGTTATGGTGGAATCAAACTTGCCGATCATATTGCCATTTCCCATGAAATTCAAATAGTGCCCAATAATTCTCCAATTTCCTATGATGGCATTCGAGGACAGGATTTTCTATCACAATTCAAGGCTATCATAGATTATGAAGCGTCAACAATATCTATTCCATTACACGGAAACTTGTTTACATTGCAAATGACTCATCCACTCACAAATGTTATCGAAGTTCCTGCTAGGTCAGGAATAATCAAAACAGTAAATTGCATAGAACCCAGAATCTGTTTTCAAAAAAAAATAAAACCCGGTGTATTCATAGGAAATTGCATAATCGAAGGAACAAAGTCAAATATTAGTATTTTGAATGCCACTGAAAAAAGCGTGTATTTGGATCAGTCAGACATTGACAAAATCTACTCTGATAACTTGAATAAATACCACGTCTTACATTTTCTCAATTCGAATAATAAATAAAGGTTGTCCCTTTTGGAAAAGGAAATAAGAACCGATCACTTGAACTCTGAGGAGCGAGATAGCATTTTGGAAATTGTCCGCGAATTCAACGATTTTTTTTTTAAAAGACGATAAACTGACTTATACAGATGCCGTTCGTCATTCCATACCCCTAACCTCTAAGAAACCAGTTTTTGTTGAACCTTATCGAATTCCCGAATTCCAAAAACAAGGCGTCCGAAATGAGATCAGTAAAATGTTGGATAATGACATAATTGAAAATAGCAATTCCTCTTACAATAGCCCAATACTCATTGTACCAAAAAAACCTGATAGTAAAGGAAATAAACGGTATAGATTGGTTGTAGATTTCCGAAAACTTAATGATCTTACAGAAGCGGATGCCTATCCCTTGCCTAATATAACAGGAATCTTAAATCAGTTGGAAAAATCAAAATACTTTTCAGTTGTAGATTTAGCTCAAGGATTCCACCAAATATTACTCAGTGACGAATCCAAACAATGTACCGCATTTTCTTTCGAGGGACATTATCAATACAAACGGTTAGCCATGGGTCTGAGAGGTTCGCCCGCAACGTTTCAACGTCTTATCAATAATGTGCTCATAGGACTCACAGGCTTGAAATGCTTCGTATATTTAGATGACATAGTGATCTACGGATGTTCTTCAGGATCCCACAATTCAAAATTAATTGACGTTCTGTCACGGTTGCGCAAGCACAACCTAAAGTTGCAGCCAGACAAGTGTGAATTCCTCCGGAAGGAAATCACTTATTTGGGTCATGTAATTTCTGAGGAAGATATAAGGCCCGACATGGGAAAAATAGAGGTAGTGAAAAATTTCAAGAAACCTCGTAACCAGAAGGATGTGAAATCATTTCTTGGTTTAGCTTCTTATTATCGCAGGTTTATTGAG